GAAGAGCGGAAGTCCAAGAATAGGAAAAAGAGCACAAGGTCAAAGCTAGCATTTCGATGAACATTACCTTTTTCAGTTTCCATGGCAGTTTAAAATATAATTAATATATAAGAGGGGTACGTACGTACATGGGCCATGGCTGTTTTGATTTTGAATATTCATTTCGCTTGGGGATTGTTTAACCAACGACAAAATATGAGAGGTGGCCACCCCAATGTCGTTCAAAGCTTGTCTTTTCAGACGTGGCATTTTTATAAATTCTTTTTCTGCCATATATGCGGTACATATACATATATATATACACACACACATATTACATATGCGGAAAAATAATGAAACGTATATATATGCACTCACACATACACATTCTGACATTCACATATATGATTGTAGTTGCTCTTTTTTTCTTGATGGGTTTCATATAGAACATATATATGGGTGGAGAGAAAGATGATATAGTTGATCATTCATTCATTCGTACCTGCGTAATCAAACTAAATCCGAACCGAAAATAATATAAAAACTGATTGTTACCTATTTTTTTTAAACCGAAAAAACCATACCAATGCATTCCCATTCCGAATCTGAATCCATTCCAGAAACGCCGACTCTTATATGTATGTATGCATTCTCTTTGTTTAATGTGTATAATCAATAAAAGGAAGCTTAGTATTATTAATCACATATGAGGGTATTTATACAAATAGGTTAACCTAATAATACACATGTAAAAATACATATTTATCCCTCTATACGCCCCCTCAAGATGGAGCACCGGAGGTGAGTCCAATCTTGACAAACAAGTCATGAAACGGAAACCGAGGCAAAGGTTTCGTGAGTTGGCTCCGACAAAATAATTAGGGTTGGCTCTGATACCATATAATCAATAAAAGGAAGCTTAGTATTATTAATCACATATGAGGGTATTTATACAAATAGGTTAACCTAATAATACACATGTAAAAATACATATTTATCCCTCTATAATGTGTTTGAACATAAGAACTCTCGGGTAACTAAAAAAGAAATAAAAATCACATGATTAACAACTGTACATAGACAGTTAACCTATGATTAGGGTTTAAATTTTAGTCCGTATATACTTCCATAGGACAGAATGTAAAGCTATTACGTTACAGGCACGCATATACCTACTTGTGTATCAGTGTTTGTATGTAAACATACATTATATTAAGGTCGTTTAGTAGCCCAATAAAGTCGTATTACATTGTAGTCAAATTAGCAATAGCTTCCTAGTAAACCGGATCGGTTAAATACGGGTCAGTAAACCTACGACAAGAATGTTAAATAAAAAACGAAAAACTAAGGATTTTAAGTATTAACTCGATTGCTTGGAATATTTATAGCCAACTCATGTCATTCAATTAGTTTTTTCTGTGATGCAGTTTCGAAATTACCAATTTAGAAGGCGAGAAAACCAAATTGACTTGAAGTGTACCGGTTATTCGGATTATGTAAATTAGGAAATTTCGGTACGTGTTGTACCGGAAAGGAAACCGACACCGGCCCACAAAGTGAAAAGGTCCTTTGATTTCCGAGCTCCGGTCAATCCGCTGTCGTTTTGGGGATTCTAAAACCTTATGCATGTGGATGTAATTTTTAGGATTTTTATTGTTACACGATAACAAATATAAAATATGGTTTAACTTTACAAGGACATGGTCACATGGTGCCTTTAGTATTTTTATGCACCCACTCAGGAAAATATATATTTTTTTAATTTCACTAAATGAATATGTCAATTGCAGCGTCGAAAATTTGCCCTAACGTGGCAAACACCATTAACATACATACATACATACATACATACATACATACATACATACATACATACATACATACATACAAGTACGGTCCAAACATTATAGATAGTCACAAATTCATATTACAACTGAATTCAACGTGATTGTCCATCAAACTTCGTGTCTTTATCATTGGCAAAATCTATCTATTGATGTAATAAATCCGTTAAAATTGATAGATTTGTCGATTTGTATTGTTAAATTATTTTCTAAAATAAAAATCGGGATAAAAAAAGTTCATCATAAAGCGGTTAACATTCTTCTGCCCACATTTTATAAGACACGTAACTAAATAGGTTCAAATCGACCAATAAAAAATTTCATTGGGCCTTCTTAAAGTAAAAACAACCAAATACCCAATTTTTTTTATTACTTAATATTATCTGTATCCAACGCGGCCCAACATTCTTAACTGCGGGCCGTAACTTCCAGTCGGCCCAATACGTGTAAATAAGTCATAATATTAGGGGTATTTCCGTACTTTGAATTCCGCTTGTCCACTTCAGATCAGGAGGTCAAATTTTCAAGCAAAAGAAAACGTTTATTTATTTATTTTTTTAATTCTTATTTTTAAACAAAGTGTCTCACCTCACAAAAGCGAGGGAGGGGAGAGATATATCAAAGGCGAAGGAAACAGCGAAGAAACAATGGCGGAGACCTCTTGCCTTCAGATCCACGGCCCAAACGACGCCGTTTCACACCGTCACAGTCACAACCGTGGAGGTGAAAGCCTAACGCAAATCCTTGAATCTAACCCGCACTGGGTCCACGCCGACGACTTCGATCTCTATATCTCCGACGCCGTCTTCGCCGTCGACGTTTTGGTTTCCGATTCTGTCGTCCCCGCATCCGACGGTCTTGATCTTCTCGACAGGCGTAGCTTCGTCATGGATCTGTTCCGCGAGCGCGTTGAGCAATCTCAGGTAACTCCTCACGACATCGATGAGAACGAGGTTGCAGAGTTGAGTTCCGAGTCGGGATTTGGGGTTATCGAGGGAAATTGCGATGTGGGTATTGGTACTTTGGAGCTGCTGGATGAGTTTGGTTTAGAATCTGGTGGTGAGTTTGTGGTTGAGGACATAGGTGATAGTAGTGATATTGATAGTGTCGATCTAAACCCTAACGATTATGATGAACATGTTGATGCCGATTTCTACATCGAGAGGAGGTCTTTCAGGCTTGAGTCTCGTGACGTGGCATCGGCCCATAATGATATTCGCGTAATCGAGTCGGGTTCTGACGATGATGAGGATGGCCTGGAGGGTGAGAGGGATATATGGGGCATAGAATTGAATGCAGAGGATGTGTATGAGGATGATGACGGTGATGACGGTGATGACGATGACGATGCCAGTGTGACCATCCCTCTTTGTTGGGATTCACTTCAGTTGGAAGATCGTGGAGTAACGAATGAGGATTTCGAGTGGGAGAATGTTGATGGTGGCTTAGTAGACGAGAGAGAAATTTTAAGCGTTCTTGCAGAGGCCGATTATGATGATGAAAATTCAATTTCCATTTCTGTCTCACCGATTATCACACTTGAGGATTTAGCTAGTGGTGAAAGGGAAGAGGGTTTGGGGAATTTGGGTTGGGAAGTTTTGCTGAATTCTCGGAATCTTGAGACGAACCCTGATTCGGAAAGTAACAGGGATATGTATCTGGGTGTGGGCGGTGATCTTGATGACTATATCGGCTATCTTGATACAACTGAGTATGAAATGCTGTTTGAGCAGTTTTCCGAGGCTGAGATTTCTGCTGTCGGGCAACCTCCGGCCGCCAAAGCCTTTGTCAAGAATCTTCCATTGGTTGTTTTGTCAAAAGAGGATGTCGGGGCTGATCATCATGCCCTATGTGCGGTTTGCAAAGACGAGATGAATGTAGGAAGCGAGGCTGCACAATTGCCGTGTAGTCATAGGTACCATAGTGAATGCATTCTGCCGTGGCTCGGGATACGTAACACATGTCCTGTTTGTCGCTACGAGTTGCCCACTGATGATGCCGAGTATGAGAGGAGGAGGAGGAGGAATAGGAGCCAGAGAGCAGCTAATGGTCTGTAAAATGGTGACTCCTTTAATATGATTTTTGGTGGAACCTTAAGTATGTATAGATAAATACTTTGTGTTGGATAGTTTTTGCAATGCGAGGTCATGAGTTTGTTTAGATAGTTCTTGTGTGTTTCTCATGTGAGTCATGACAATTTCAATGTAATTTATAGGATGCCTACTTTATCTACTACACCTTATATTATATATATATATATATATATATATATATATATATGATATTTTATTGAATTTCTCCGGTTTTTTTCTT